AGGTAGTGTTATGCCTCCAGCTTTATATTTTTTGCTCAGAATTACTTTAGCTATGCGTGGTCTTGTGCAGCCTCTATGGAAAATGGTATGGAGGTTCCTCAAACAATTGCAGATAGATCTACCATATGACCTAGCTATCCCACTGCTGGGAATATACCCAGAGGAATGGAAATCATCAAGTTGAAGGTATACCTGTTCCCCAATGTTCATCGCAGCACTCTTTACAATAGCTAGGAGTTGGAACCAGCCCAAATGTCCATCATCAGATGAGTGGGTACGGAAAATGTGGTATATCTACACAATGGAATACTACTTGGCTATAAAAAAGAGTGAAATACTGCCATTTGCAATGACATGGGTGGAACTAGAGAGAATTATATTAAGTGAAACAAGTCAGACACAGAAAGAGAAATACCACATGTTCTCACTTATTTGTGGGAGCTAAAAATAAATAAATAAATAAATAAACGCACACAGAAAAACCAGGGAAGGGGGGAAGAAGACATAACAATTACAATTCCTTGAAATTCATATGACAAGCATACAGAAAGGACATTGTTGGGAGGGAGAGAGGAAAGGGAGGAAGGAGGGAAGTTTCGGTAATTGGCCACAATAATTAACGACATTGTATTTTGACAAAATAAAATAAAATAAAATATTTAAAAAAAGGTAGTTAAGGAACCTCTCATCTACATGCTCACTTTTTTGCACACAATATCAGTCCTACAGGAGGTGAGCAGAGTGCACTGCATGATGCTTTCTCACTTGAATCTGGTTTTATTGTGTTGTTGGGTTTTTTTAACCACAAATTATATATCCAGTNAAATAAATAAATAAATAAATAAAAAACAAAATTCGAAATACAATTTCTACTGAATATCACTTTTGCACCACTGTAAAGCAGATTTTTGTTAAGTCAAACCACTGTAAGTCGGGAACCGTCTGTATTTTATTAGGGATTAGGACCGTACCATACTCGAAGGCAGCAATAACATCACTAAGCCAGGGGCTTAACACAGTAGACACTCAAAAAACATTGGTTTAATACACTCTTTCCCAGAGTGTAACGCATTCTATTTATGGTCCATAAGCAATTTTTAGGTGGTACCTTGAACGTATATTAAAATAGTTATGAATTTATTTTAATGTCTCTTAGAAAAATAACTAGCACATCAAACCCATGGCTTCAGAAATATTGTTGCTTAGTAAGTGGCTAAATGAAAGGAAAATATTAATCAGAGTAAAGGGCTCAGGAGTGACTCCCTCCCCGATACTCCCTATTAACTGACCCTGCTTAATATTTTCCACAGCAATTGACATCATTTGACATATATATGTTGCTTCTCCCCTCAGAGTGTAAGCTCCATGAGGGCAGGGATTTGGTCCATTTTGTTTGCTGCTATACCCCAGAACTCAGAATAGTACCTGGTAAGTAGTAGTAAGGGCTCAATATACAGTTATTGAAAGAGACGGAGGAAGAGAAGTAGGAAAGGAGAGACGAAAGAGAAAAGGAAGGAAGAAAGAGGTGAATTAAAGTTAACTCAAATTAGTAATAATACAGAAGGTATAAAAAGATAGCAGAAATTGCAAAGGTGGTGGGATGCGGTTTGAGAAGCACTAGATTAATAAACTAAAGGAAGAAGGAGTTTGGATAGGGAAGATAATGATAGATTATAGAAGCATGAACGATAGGCTAAAGCCTTGAATATTAGGAGACAACACGAAATTTGTCACCAATCCCCAGGAATATTCTGAGTTCTATGCAGAACTCTTCCATTTCTATCCTGTGATAAAATTGAAAAGTTTTTTTTTTAAAGCCATTCAGAAGAACATTTAAGATTAAAGGTCCTGATGAAATCTAAGTGTAAGCATTAGAGATTCTGTCATCTTCTAAGGCAAGCATGCTGTAGAAAAAACTGTGACTATGCCAGGAATCAGAAAACTTCCAGGTCTTTCTTCTGGCTCCAACATTAATTAGCTGTGTGATTTTGTGAAAGAGTCCTAATTTCTGAAGTTTAGGAGGTTACCAAAGACTTCTGAGAGTAAAGCTGAGATATAAAAAGGAGGAAAGTGAGGCACGAGACTCAAAAACAACTTTTAATCCTATGAGAGAGTGGGTTTATTCACTTAGTAAATATTTATTGAGCAGCTCCCTAAGCCAAGCATTGTTGTTGATACATGGAAGATCGAGACCTGGTCCTTGTCCTTAACTTAGAAAAAACAATTCTCGAGTCAAGAAATTATACTATGAGTGAACTAATTAAGTGAATTCCTGTAAAGTGTCCAGCATACTGCCTGGGTGATTAATTTTGCCCAAGAATGTTGGCAAAAGCTTTAGAGAGGAGGTAACATTTAGAGAGGAGGGTATGCTTTAAACTTGACAAATATTGGTCTTAATACATTTCGCAAAGGAAGATACACATAACATAGATGAAAAACAAGCTGTTTATAGATGGTCCACTGAAGAAACATTTTTAGTCTCAACAATTCTGTACATATTGTATTATGTTTTAGAAAAGTTATGTCTAGATATAAAAGCCATGATTCCCAGTCCTGCGTAGGACGTGACTAAATAAAACAAATGTAACGGAGTAGGACTGTCTTTCGTAACCCTGTCTCCTGTCTCCCTTACTGTTTTATTTTCATTCAAACCATTTGTCACCATCTGACATTAAATTTTTCAATGTCTGCTACATTATGGAAAGTTTTAGAGATTCTAATAATAGGAAAAATATGGGGAAAGGGAATCATTAATACAATTCTCCATCAAATGGATTCCTACCCCAGTCCAGTAACCTTGCTTTAATCAGTCACTTATAAGAGCTGGAAAGCAATGCACCTGACCAATTTGCAGAATCAATTTTTGAGATACAATGGGCCTCAGTGCTCCCATTTTACAGATAAAGAAACTGATGCCCAGAAAGAGTTGGTGACTTATGCAAAGCCTCACAGCAGGTAAGGGGCAGAGCCCAGACTCCAATCCACATTACTTAATGACAGGTCAGCACACTACCCATAACATCAACTATAGGCAATATAGATGAATACAGTTTTCTTATTTCTCATAACAATTGCTATCTGCTGGAAATCTATAAAGTTAATGGGATAGTATTAGTTGCTTTATTTAGACATTCAAGTATGAAGAGTCACCACCGTTATTCAAAACAGAAAAAACAAAGTGAGAACAAAAATGAATAAGAAAATTAGGATTTGCTGACCCAGTTCTATAAATATTACACAGCATATTATTGACGAAAACATCAGCATTACCTCCAAGGACCATACCAGCCTGACAGCACTTTCTAAGGCGACATGCAGGGCAGTTTTTTCTGCGGATTTTATCAACAATGCAGTCATTTCTTCCAGCACATAAATAGTTATGCTGCCCTAGAAAATGAGAAAAGTAAAAATTATTTACAATTTCTAAGGATTATTGGAAAGTCTATGCAAGAACAACTGAAATAGAAGACAGGTGCACAGCAGCTTGTGCCCGACTCTCTCAGCCAGCCTCTTGTTTGGCATGACTGAATGTTGGTGATGCTACAAACCTGCTCAATACTTTACCTGTACCTTCAGAAGCCTAAATGAGGTAAACGCAGCTTAAAAATAAATCCCAGGCTACTTTTAAAACCTTTTGTGCAAGATTTATGTGCATCTTCGTAGTGGTGTCAACATCAGATTGCGCTAATGCTGTTCTGTCATTTCAAGATTAGCTACATGTTGCTGATAAGCACTAGTTGCATAAAGTTGTCAAGCTCTAGTAAAACCTTTTCTTTCTGACATCTTAGCATTCAAGAAAACAGTCTAAAAAACAGACTAAAGAATTAAAGAGGTCTCTGGAATAGACCTTTTACGAAAATCTACATGCTTAATTCTACTGGAAAATCATGGAGCTATTTCACTCTAAAAGATCTGATGCTTGTGAATAACATGTTAAAAAAAAAAGTCACTGGTTGTCCTGACTTTAATGTCTGGTTTATTTTGATCAAAAATTAGAAAACACTGTGAATAAAAATAATGATAAAGAGAGAACAATTTAAAACAGACTCAATGAAGGAGAACAGAGAAGAATTACAGAAGAAATATAAATAAAACAAATCACTCTAGGGTCATTTGTATATGGGAAACTACTTACACATTTCAAAAGGTCTGGCATATGATTTTTAAACCATGATATGTTCCACTTAATAAGGCATGGAGCAATTGAGTTAATTTATTTAGATTGAACAAAACTGAGAGAAATTCAGTTTAAATATGTAGATATTAATTAACTGTAAAACTCACTTTTTTGGCACTCCTTATTTTCTAACGCATTTCTTTAAAACAGACTGTGAGTCTTTTAACACTATCAGCCTGTTTATACTTCTTAAGAACAAAAAAGAATTTAAAAGATCATGGAATTTCCCTATAGAAGTTTACATTAGTCAACATTAAAATCAGAGCCACTCTTCTGGCCAAAGTTTGGTTACATATATACTTACTCAAGCAGGGGAAAGGATATGCCCAAACAGCAAAAGGCAAAAAGACTGAAAGGCCATATCTATGTGACAGCTAATAATAAAATGGTTTTCAACCTGTGGCATTTTTGGAAAAGCACAGATACTTTTTCTTAATAGTGTATTACTCCATGAACTTATGGTCATGTACACTCAATACTAGTGTTCATTCTCTTGTCTAAGAGTCCTGAAAGTTGGGTTTTCCTTCTAATAAAAGGTAGTTAAGTCTGTTAATTGTTTCTTTTGCTGTGCAGAAGATTTTTAGTTTGATATAATCCCATTTGTTT